GGTGAAGTGACTAGTCGACTAGCATGTCAACTATCCAATAAGCTTTTGCTTATCAGATAGTCGGCTAGTCGTTGACATCCCTAGTGTACAGAGCAATATAATACAGAATGCACACAGCATGACCTGCCATCTTTGTGGCTGAGCTATTTTTTACATTAACAGCAACTACATCCGTCCCACCTGGTGGAAAATTCTGAGGCTGCTGGGAAACATTAAGTGAGTTCTAATGTGGCGGTGTGAGTAGCTTGTTAACTGTCCCCTGTGTGTCAGAGATGGGAGCACTCTCTCCATAAGAGAAGGGAAGGTGTGGGCAGAGCAGTCTGGAGGGAGCAGTGAGACCTGAGGAGATGGAGCTAAAGGTTTTATTATTTGATGTCAAACTCAAGGAGGGTGGTGAGGTGACTCTATTCAGCACATGGACTTTGTTTTAGAGCAGCCTGCTCAAGCAGGGTGGGATATTTTGATGTATTCAGCAGAGAGGGTTTGGGGGAGGGAAGGTGGAGGGAGAGAAACAACCTTGAATTAAAGAACATGAGGGCAGGAGTGGCAGCCTTGCAAATTTGTGGATATCCACTTTATATCTGTGAGCCATGTTTGCAGTTCATGGCTTGAGTGCAGATACAATTGCTAGGTGGACTCGTAGTCCACCCAGACTTTGATGTAAGAGGGCTGGATATTACATGAGAGCCTTAAAGAATGAGAATCCATACAGGTCTCCTGTGAATACAAGGACTTCAAGGCCTGCCCAGCAGATATAATTCCCTGTGATTAGGGGCAGTTTACTTGTTTTATTTTGCTCCGTTGAAATGCAGGGAGACTGGGAAAGCTCTGTCTGTCCTAGTTTTGGAGGTATATCAAGGAGTTCATAACCATGAAGAATGAGATGTTGCAGATGGATAGTCCTCTGGTCATCAGAGGGACTTTAGGAGTAAGATTGTCCAGGAGCGAAAGCATTGACTATGGCGGGGAAAAGGCTGTATCAAGTTGGCCATGCTTGCCTAACAATCATAGAAGTGTAGGACTGGAAGGAACTCAACAGGTCACCTGAACTGAAGCAGGACTAAGTAATATCTAGACTAGGTGTTTGTGTAACTTTCTTGTAAAAAGGTTTAGTGCTGGAGATTGCTCAGCTTTCCTAGGTGACTTGCCGTAAGTGCTTACCTGCCCTGACAGGATGTTTTTCCTAATGTCTAACCTAAACTTCAGTTGCTGCGGTTAAAGCCCATTGCTTCTTGACTGGTCATTGGTAGCTAAGGAGATCAATTTATCCTCTTCTTTATAACAGCCTTTTAGATTTTATCATGTCCCCCTCCATTGTCTCTTCTTCAGACTAGACAAACCCATTTTTTAAAATTTTTCCTCATACAGCATATTTTTTAGACCTTTAATCATTCATGTGGCTCCTCTATGGACTTTTTCAAATTTGTCTACATCTTTCCCAAATTATGGTGCCTAGATCTGGACACAAAGCTCAATTTAAGGCCTTATCACTGCTGAGTAGATTGGAAGAACTGCTTGTGATTTTGCCTACAACACTCCTGCTAACAGATGAAGCACACCTCCCTATTAGCAGCCATTGAGCCTGCTGGAAAAGGCTTAGAGGAGTTCAGCTAATTGACTGAGGCAGGTGCTTTTATATCTCACTCAGATAAAAGGGAGTGGCTCTATGAAAAGAGAAAGAGAGCAGATCTACAGTGTGAGAGACCTTGAGGGAGGAGCCCTAGGAACAGCACATCTGAGGAGAGGCCTAACCTGAACTTTATCAGCTGATTATTAAAGCTAAATTCCAAGAAGGGGTGGGGTTTTTACTTGGTTTTAGAGCAGGCTTGGAAGGTCACGTGGTTTTCTTTAAATTATGTGTTTCTATTCAAAAATCTTTCATGACTCCAAAGTTTAAGAGATGTCATGTTGAGCTTTTGAAATTGAATCTGAATATTGTATTTAATGGAAAACAGCACGACATGTTCCCAAAGCGTCCTAAAGATTATACCTGTTAACGTCAGTTCTGCAAAAAGGCATTAGTTAATTGTACCACACAAGCAAGGAACATTTATTCTTATTTAAAGGAAGGAAAAAGTCCTGTGACACATGCAAATAGCACATCATGTATTTTAAACACTCTGCAGGTCGCCTACACAGACTGAGCAGACATATTTGTCCCTTCAGCACCTTTCACAGCCTGAACATCAATATGTTTGCTTTTTACATGCTCTTGTCATTAATACCAGCTATTAAAGGGAAAAATACATACAGCCTGTGCATCGTGTGCGGGAAATGAGGCCCTGGACTACTCTGGGTTGTGGGGTCTGGAACACTTTGCATTAGCCCTCTTTGGTCAGCAACTGGTGCTTTGCTGATGAACATTCTCCAACCCTGTGGCTAGAGTGCGGCAAGATCTGTGAAGGCCTGGGGCACGGCCATTCACAAGGCAGTAGATTCAGTTGTCAGCCACCCCCAGCTTTTATGCAGGCCTGTACAGTAGTGTTGAGTCAAGATCAGACGGCAGCAGTAATACCTGCACTGAGAGTTGAATGTAAACTCGCTGGCTGGGGAGCATATGGAACTTGGAACCTGAACCAGACACAAGTTTCGCTTTAGCGTGGGGGGACTAAAATCCTGCAGTATTGCACAGCTCGGTGTTTCGCAAGGCAATGGCCTCACTCAGCATAGATACTGACCCCTCAGCTTCCAGACCTTAATCTGTATAGCAGTGCTGTGATGTGCGCCTGTCCAGTAATTCTCAGGGGGGTGCTGGCAACTGGCTAATTTCTGCCACTAGTACAGAGGCTTGAGGGGTGGAGAAGGAAATTTAATATCACAGCAGATGCTGCTTGTGGGACAGGGATCCCTAAACGATCACTTCCTCAGGCGAGCAGGAACTGTATATCTGGTAGTATGCTTTAGCTTCTAGCCTCTTGTGTTGCAGAAAAGCACCTGTAACTTTCAGTGTTGTGTTGTAAGCCAGAGTCTGCCTCTACCTCGGTTTAGATAGATTGCAGAGCTGGCCCAAGCCTGTCTTGCAAAGATTACCCTGGGTCGCTGATTTCTTCTTGTTCAGGAAGCACAGTGAAGGCATTAGAGATGAGAGATCAGTAGCAGCAATACTCAGAGTAGGGATATAAGTTACTAGTTGAATCTCTGATAAGCAAAAGCTTAGCTGATTAAACTAAATGTAACATCCCTAACTCAGAGCAGACCAAGCTGTCAGGGAGACTAAGCTGCTGCCTTGGGTACCAAGAAATAAAAAAGAGCCAAAAAGCAACCCCCTTCTACCTGCTGCAGCCATCTCCTGCTCCCTCCCCACATGTCCTAATGCCACACCCAGATCCTTCACTGTGCAGTCCCTTCTCAGATGCTTGGTCTGATGATAGACAAGGCTGAGTGAGCATAACCCTAATCCCGTGATGTCCAACCAGTTCTGGCTATAGCAGACTAGTCACTCTCAGCTGGCCAAATAGCCACATGTGGTTGGCATGTTGGACACCATGGCCCTGATCGGTGCCTTCAACACCCTCCGGGAAGGGTTGGGAAGAGGCCCCTTTCCTTTGAGAAATGCCTAGTGAGTTTGGTGTGGGGCAAGTGTGCGTGTCTATTTCTAAGTGGCGGTCACAGCAGCCTCTGAACACACACACAAAAGCTATGTGTGGTCCAACCCTGTGGTGTGGAGTTGGTTGAGGAGCAGAGCAACTTTCTCACTCCACTGTATGGGGAGTGAGAGGTGATTTGGGGGGCAAGGGCCTGAAATGCCTGAAATGGGCCAGTTCAAGGGTCAGTGCCTCCTCCCAGCTGCCAAGAACATCCCAGACTAAGGAGGGGTACTCCACACATAGCTATAGCAGTGTTTGGTGCAAGGCAAAGGGCATGTGCAACAGGACAGTGATGCTGGCACCAAGCCCTCATTTCATGTCCTGTAATAGGGTACATGATTTAATTTTAAATACACTGGTAATATGAGAGTCTAGGAGAGATCCCTTGAGCAGATTCCAGTTAGCTTCTGATGATCTCTGTAATTAGCAGCTACTTGGAACAGGTTGATTTGTCTGGAGAGGTCTCACGGTTGTTTATGCACCGGAAGAAAATTAAGACCATGCAAGTATCAAATAGTTCCCATAGACCATAACAAGTCAGTGATGTCCACGTACAACATTTTCATTTGGTTTGTGTCCGTGCTCCAGCCCAGCCAGTTCATATGTGCTCGATTGTATTTACCTTATTTAAACAGAAAACCGGGAAAACACCTTCAGCCGTTCCCGAAGCTCTAGTGTCTCCAGTATCGACAAGGAGTCTAAGGAAGCAATTACAGCTTTGTACTTTATGGAAACCTTTGCACGGAAGAATGACTCTACTGTCTCCCCCTGTCTGTGGGTTGGAACAGGCCTCGGTATGGTCTTAATCATCTCCCTTAATCTGCCTGCTACTGAGGAATTAAGGCAGACAGAACCGGTCATGGTGTCTCCAAGTGGTAAGAGTTTCTGTCTGCTTTCCTGTTCTTTGTCTGTCTCTGTAGCAGGGTAGGATATAAATATCTGCTTTTATCGGGTTTTTCTGACCAAAATCTCTCATGTAGTGAATATTAACCCACTCATTATACTGAGTGCACAGAGGGATATAAAGAGGTGATTGTAACATTGATAGATGTAATTTAGAGACCTAGGGCTGTCTGTTTTATCAAAGGTAAAGATTAGATCTTACCTAGAGCGCCGCACATTCCTTGTAAGATCCTGGAAACGAGACTTTTTTCAGACTGGAAAAATAGTTTCCACCTGGGAAAGTGTATTTAGGATTCCCTTGAATGTATTAAGAATTTGATGTATCATGTGGCAACAGAAATGTCAATAAATTCCAGTAGAAGGTATTTTTAGGTGTAGACACAGTGATTAGCACAACTAGTTATTTTCACATTAAAAAGCCTTCATAAACCTTAACTAATTATTCCTTCCCTGTGACATAGGGAGCTGCTCCCATTTCTGCACGAGGCAACAGGCATAGACAATAAACGACTTGGCCAATGTTAAGAGGGAGCCAGTATTAAAGAACTCAGGAAGTCCTGCCTTCTAGCCCTGTGCACTGATCCCACAGACAGGCCTCTCTCTTAGAGCAGTGCTAGCTTTCAGCACAAACCTGCAGCTGTTTGTAACAGTAGTGGCAGAATAAACTAAGCCTTACTTTTGCACCAAGGTACAATTATGAGGCAGTTATGGACACTGAGGAAGCCATGCCATGAGAGTAGAAATAAGGGCAGAGAACAAATGAGACTGGGTTTTGGAAAATACAAATTAATACATGTGAGGAGCAACAATTGCAAGTACATATACTAAATGGCAGGGGGAACCGCAGAAAGCAGAGACGCCTAGAGCTAGCAGTAGGCAGCAGATTAGTCATGAGTTTGAAGATATGGCTGGGAAACGAGGCCAGTATAATTTTGAAGAGCATAGACAAAAGTATTTTGTCACTGAGCATAGAGGTTGTAGTCCTCCTACGTACAGTTCTGATCCAGCCACAGCTGGAATAGTGTGATCAGGTTGGGGGTGTCATTGCCAGAGAAACAAGAGGGAGGTAATGATGGCAGGTAAAGGGTATAATTTACAGCAAAATATTGAACGATACATACCACATCTTGGCTAAGTTACAGGGGATACCGGAGGGGTGTAAACACCACGGAGGGACAGGATGTATTACCAATTTTAAGGGGCGCTAACTAGGAAGAGTGGGAGGAAATTTAGATGTAAGGAACTGTAGTTTATATTTCACAAGAAAAGGATAGGAGCCACCTCAGTTGCATGTTTAAACCCAGACTTGGATAAACACTAGAAATTGCTCTGTAAAGAATAACCCTACTGGTAATAGAATGGTCTGTAATCAGCCATTTTTATCTCTCAATTCTATTTTATATTGAATTTTTATTGAATGTTGCCTGAAATATTTTCAATAACTGGCTCACCATCTCTGCATGGCTGCAAAAATATTTCATTTGAAGCAAAAAATTACTTGGTGCAGTTGGCTGTGCAGCTTTTTAGCTTACTTGGGCTCAGATGTCCTGTAGTATCCATAAAGGGGAAACTGGGATGCAAAACAGGCTATGAGACATATGTACTATTAGTGACCACTGGATTTTTTGGAAAAGCATATGCCAAAGCTAGAGAATTGTATTTTACAGGTACAGTTCTGACGCTGAAGGGAGCAGTGCTGACTTTTTCATGCCTGGACTGCATGGGAGCATTGATACATCCACCCTATGAAGTATGGAGGGACCCAAACAGCATAGAAGATAATGAAAAAATGAGAAAAAGGAAACTCGTCATGCATTCTCCTTCCTCTTCTCAGGATATGGGAGATTATCAGTTTGCGGTCATCTGCTCAGAAAAACAAGCCAAAGTTTTCTCTCTGCCTTCCCAGACATGCCTCTATGTTCACAACATCACAGAAACGTCCTTTCTACTGCGAGCAGATGTGGTGACCCTGTGTAATAGCATTTGCCTGGCTTGCTTTTGTGCCAATGGGCATATAATGACAATGAGGTACTTCCTTAACTTATCTGCATCTGATGAAGTGGGTCTTCGCCCATGATAGCTTATGCTCCAATACATCTGTTAGTCTATAAGGTGCTACAGGACTACTTGTCGCCTTAACTAATCATTTGTCAAAATTGTAAAAAGCAACAAAGCTAGGTTGTAAAGGGGAGCAGGATGAACAGTGGATTCACTCTCCATGTGCAATCTGCTGGAATGGGCAGCTAAGCTTCTTTTTATTATGTACACATGTAAAGCAAGATGAGTACAGCTTTACTCTGCTATACAAGTTCTCTGAGTTAGCAGTCCTCACCATACAGTCCCAGGCTCTCTCTGACAGCAATTGCATCGGAGAACCAACACTCATTGGGAGTGTCTAGACTACAAGGTTTTTTCAAAAAAACTTCCCCTGCGTCTAGACTGTTGCCGCATTCTTTTGAAAGTAAATCGAAAGAACGTGGCAGTTTTTTCGACCGCAGAAAACCTGATTGTATGAGGAATAACACCTTTTTTCGAAAGTGCTCTTTTAAAAAAAGGCGCTATTTAACACAAACTGTGCTTTTTTTGAAAGAGAGCATCCAGACTGCCTGGGTGCTCTCTTTTGAAAAAGCGGCTTGCTTTTTCGAAAGTACTGGTTATAGTCTATCTTTCGAAAAAGGCTTGTAGTCTAGATGTAGCCAGAATGACTGAAGTTGTAGAATAATTTCCATGCAACCCATCTCTCTTCAGTCATTTGTAACTGTCTGCTTTCATCTTTGGGACAAATCACTTCCAAGTCTGGTTTCACTCACATATGTTAAATGATTGTGGAACTCAATATATCTTTCGCTACACTGTTAAAAAGGAATCTTATGAATTCTCTTTTGGAGAGCTCCTCAATCAGAATTGCCAAGTTAGAAAGTTGAAAGGTGGCAATAAAGCAGCAGTGCCAATGAGAGCTGTATCCAACACTGGATTGGATTTAACCAAACTCTGACCTTTGAAAACCACACGTTGCATGTTCTGTGGCTTTTTTTTTCTTGCCACGGGGTCTTTAGGATCCTCCAGGGCTAAGTAGCAGTTGAGCAGGATTTAAGAATTTGAATGGTATGACGACGCGTCGGGGAGCCCCTCACCCTGCACCCTCATTTGCAGCCTGATGAGACTCCGCCAGCCAGTAGAATAGAAAGGGCTTATTGCTTCTCCGAGATACAGCACAACACAGCACAGCCTCGATGCTGACATAGGAGCCAGGGCAGACAGCCTTAGTCTTCTTGGGGGAAAGAGGTTTACAGGCCCCTCACCCTCCCTCCCTCTCCCCTGTATTGGTCTGTCTGCTTTTTTCATGCTTCCCCCAGCCAGGATTGACCCGCTCCCAGACCCTGCCCTCCAGCCAGATCGCCATCTCCGCCTCCCTTCCTTTGTCTCTCCTTCTGGGAAGAGCCTTGTTAACTGCTCAGGCTGGTACTTAGGTGTCTGGGCCAATACACATGTGGGGTGAGTCAGCGGGAATCACAGCCAGGTGGGGACACCGGGTAGCAAAGCAGACAGCCCCCCCACTATGCCACACATGGGAACTTAATGGACTTCAGCTGCCTAACTTGGCAGCTTTGTGTCCTATTCCTTTTGTGGAGCTAGCCCTAAAATCCTATCTTTGTCATTGAAGTTCTCTCTGAGACCAATACACAGAGGGAACAGATCTATGAAGTGGGAAGGTGCCATTTACTGTAGTGCATTTAAGAGTAAGACTGCAATGTAAATACCATTGCATTTCCAGCTCTATATGGAAAATATTAAGTTACCAGTGGGTTTGAATCCTAGACTAGAATCAAAGCATTTTCTCTAAATCCCAACATAACACTGTTATCTGTTTCTCTTCAGTTTGCCCAGCCTTCGCCCAATGCTGGATGTCAACTATTTGCCTGTAACAGACATGAGGATAGCACGGACATTTTGTTTCACCAATGAAGGGCAAGCTTTGTATCTCAGCTCTCCCACAGAGATCCAGCGACTGACCTACAGCCAGGAGATGTGTGACAATCTCCAGGTAGGGCCTGTAAATGTAAACAGCAAACATACTGCTTAGTTTTCTTATTGTGGAGAAGTCTTTGGTGCACTAATGGCCTCCCATTATCAGATCCATGCTTCCTACAGAGGAAGGCTGTATGTTTTTAGCACTTCTAAGCCACCCTTCCACCACTGCCTTAATCACATTAGCTTACACTATTCTCAGACTTTCAAGTGTAACACCATGTCCTCCATTTTAAAATCTAGTGCAACCTGTTCCAGATAATCTTCATTAAATCCAGTACATTCTTATTTTTAATTTGGAATCTGAAACTTCCCATAAAATAGCAAAGATTTCGCAGGATTTTTTTTTTTAACATTTGCAATTTCTTGCAAGGAAAATGTTAATTTACATCAACATTTCCAAAGGGAAGCAATTTTTCAGGAGAAAAACTATATTTGGAAGGAGTAAAATGGAAAAAGAAATACTTAGTGGCATAGTGTCATTGTCTAATGCTTTGATCCTTTAATGTGCACATTCCTTGTGTTAAGCCTATGAAAGAATGTAGATCATTAACACAAAATTTTATCAGCTAAATATGGGGGAAGCAAAAGAGAGAGACTTCTAAAACCAGATTTGTTCCCAAAGAGCAAATGGTGCATGTGTAAGCAATCAATTCATCTGAATAGTTATCTTTTACTAGTAGGTTTCTCAAGGTGACAACACTTATTGCTCTTCTAAGCTTAGCAGAAGTTAGTTAAATAGATTTAATTAATTAAACGTTAGTTTTAAATGGTTAAAAATGGTAAGAAGTTGAACAGTGGCATTATGGCCAGCAGATGTGTCAGGCATTAATTTTAATGTAAGATGTGATCTAGTGTGAAACTTCTGTGAGAAGGCAGTTTTTTTGTTTTTTTTAAGTGAATCAGTGCTAGCTTGACAATCTTATAGATGGAAAGTGTTTATTTGTAGCACAGGAAAGTGTCAGCAGCTGCAACAGCAGGCCACACCTCCCATGTGCACACCATACACCCCATGTATACCACAGGCTTGTCCTAAAAGAAAAAAACGTTATTTACCTCTCATAACTGTTCTTTCAGATGTGTTGCTCATGTCCATTCCAGTTAGGTGTGTATGCGCTGCATGCATCAATTCTGGAGCTTTTTTTATATAAGAACGGCCATACTGGTTCAGACCAAAGGTCCATCTAGCCCATCTATCCTGTCTGCCAACAATGGCCAATGCCAGAGGCCCCAGAGGGAGGAAACACAACAGGTAATCCTCACGTGATCCCTTTCCTGTCACCCATTTACAGACAAACAGTGGCTAGGGACACCATTCCTACCCAGCCTGGCTAATAGCCATTGATAGACCTAACCTCCATGAATCTATCTAGCTCTTTTTTGAACCCTATTAAAGTCCTGGTCTTCACAACATCTTCTGGCAAGGAGTTCCAGCGGTTGACTGTGCGCTGAGTGAAGAAAAACTTCCTCTTGTTTGTTTTAAACCTTCTGCCAATTATGTAATTTCATTTGGTGACCCCTAGTTCTTATATTGTGGGAATAAGTAAATAACTTTCCTTATTCACTTTTTCCATACTAGTCATGATTTTCTAGACCTCTATCATATCTCCCCTTAGTCTTCACTTTTCTAAGTTGAAAAGGCCAAGTCTTTTAAATCTCTCTTCATATGGGACCCATTCTAAACCCTAATCATTTTTTTGCCCTTTTCTGAACCTTTTTCAATGCCAATATATCTTTTTTGAGATGAGACGACCACATCTGTTCACGGTATTTCAGATGTGGGCGTACCATGGTTTTATATAGAGGCAATCAGATATTTTCTGTCTTATTCACTATCCCTTTTTAAATGATCCCTAACATTCTATCTGCTTTTTTGATCGCCACTGCACACTCAGTGGATGTTTTCAGAGAACTATCCATAATGACTCCAAGATCTCTCTCTTGAATAGTTGTAGCCAAATTAATCCCCATCACATTGTATGTATAGTTGGGATTATTTTTTCCAATGTGCATTAAATGTAGCATTGATAAATGTAAAGTAATTTGCCATTTTGTTGCCCAATCACTTAGTGTGGTGAGATCTTTCTGAAGCTCTTCATGGTCTGCTTTGATCTTAACTATCTTGAGCAGTTTGGTATCATCTGCGAATTTTGACACCTCACTGTTTACCACTTTCTCTAGATCATTTATAAGTAAGTTGAATAGGATGGGTCCCGGGACAGACTGTTGGGGGATCCCACTAGTTACCTCTTTCCACTCTGAAAACTTACCATTTATTTCAACTGTTTCCTGTCTTTTAACCAGTTATCAATCCATGAAAGGACCTTCCCTCTTATCCCATGACAGCTTTCTTTACTTAAGAGCTTTTAGTAAGGGACCTTGTCAAAGGCTTCCTGGAAATCTAGGTATACACTACATCCACTGGATCTCCCTTGTCCACGTTAGTTGACCTCCTCAAAGAACTCTAGCAAATTAGTAAGACATGATTTCCCTTTACAGAATCCATGCTGACTTCCCCCAACAAATTATGTTCTTCTATGTGTCTGACAATTTTATTCTTTACTATAGTTTCAGCTAATTTGCCTGGTACTGACGTTAGACTAATTGTCACAATCACCAGGAGGGGAGAGACAAAAGGGGGAAAACTCCCCAACAGCTAATTACCTACTCAGCAAACTATTTACAGCTAACTAAAAAACTTTGAACTAATGCTAACTACTATATACAGAAAGCGGTGGGTTGGACTATCAGGTAGTCAGGCGCTCCAGCTTACCGTCACAAGAGGTAAGGAGGAACTGAGGGGGTGGAGGAACAGCAGGGGTTTATATGCAACAATATAGCAAGGCGACTCCAGGGTGCTCCCTGGCTGGGCCAGTAGGTACTGCTGAGGGGCAAAAAAGCTCCAGAATCCATACATGCGGCGTGCATACACCTAACTGGAATGGACATGAACAAGAACTCGAAGGAGAACCACCTTATTGGTACAAAGAGGAGGTCAGCAGTATTTTTAGTCTTTGAGTAGTTCCTGTCCCCTAACACTTGACCAAGCCCATAAACTGCCAGTAATGGTGGTAACTTCTGGTTACTATTAAGTTGAGCCAGATTTGAAGCAGGTCAGTACTTGGCCATAACATGACCCTGTTCCAGGACAGTAAAGTCCTGATATGCTGCTCAGGTTGAAAGATCTGTTTTAAAATGTTATGACGGCTTAAAAATATATGGTGCTTGGTAGCTGCATGGATCTAACTGAAGGTAAAGTGCATCAGCGCAATTTCTGTTCCTTCCCTAATGTGTTTATTTTACTCTAAAAGTAAATGCAAGCCCCACTCTCCACATTAATCCAGCTTCCCCAGCATTCAGACAGTGGGCTAGCAGGACAGGCATTCTGAGTTAGATTATACACCATTAAGAGTCAACAAAAAGGGATTAAGATGTGCTTTTGAATTATTTACCATAGTTTTCACAACTGTGATACCGCCCTTTATTTGCAGGTGGGAAAAGCTTCTTGTGTTGCATTAGACCATCTGCGTAGCTGCTGTGTGTTAATGTAAAAGTCATTTATACTAAGCGAAAGCTAGTTCATCGTGTTAGATTTTTTTTTATACTCTGAAGAGCATTGAAGGAAGTGACATATGTGTGGTTGTTGGGGAAGGACCATTAGCGGTGGAAAAAAAGGAAATAAGTTTGAGGTTGTCTAATTAGCAGAGTACCAGGCTGCCAACATGGTAAGTTACATGGTATAACTGGCATTTGGTAGTCCATGGGAATGTGTTGAGCAGCAAAACTCATCACGCAGTGCTGGCATTTTCAGCACTGAAGAATTGTGATGGGGAATGAGTATTGCAGCCAGGCTTGGGTCCTCTAGAGAGGAAGAGGATTTGAAGTGATGGTTTCCAAATTATTGGAAGGACTCTAAAAATACATCACTGGAGATGGGTTAGACTTGTGTTAGCCCAAGTAAGGGAATAAGGCTCTTACCTCTTAGCACTGCTGCACTCCCACCACTCACATCATAGTTTCTTCACAGAGAGAAACAGCACGGGCTTTATATACACCTGGTATTCCCCTCATGAGCCAGTGGGAGGAGCATGGGCAGAGAGCCAGGGTTTCACCCACCCTGACGTACCAAGTGACCGAGCAATAGTATTAATGTGCTGAAGCCATTGCCTGACCCTAGCAGGTTGCAAATAAATTTGAAAGCTTGATTTATTCCTAAATACCCACTAATCTGAGGGATACAGGTGTCAGCTCTGTGGGGGCAGGACCATGTTTTCAGATGTGTATGTCAGTGTCTGTCTCACTGCTATTGCTGTGTAAATAGCAAAATTAAGTGGGAGGTAGATACAGCTAGCATCCAGAGATGAGCTCTCGGAGGGAAGCCAGTGGCCTTTTATAAAAATCACTTCCTGTCAGTAAGCATCTTTGTTTTCTCTTTGCAAAGTATTGACACTCTGGTTGCCTGAATAATCACTAGTGCAAAACACATAATTCATGAGTCATTTCTTCAACAGTTTTATTTCTTCTGCTGCTCACCCACTGATTGTGATTTCTTGATTTTTAGTCTACATTTGCAATGAGGGCACTAAGTAAAAATTCCCCCCAATCATAAAATATGGACCTACAAGAGGAATGAATGAAAACTAATTTTTTAAAAATGAGAGTGGATTTGGTTGGAAATTTTATTTGCACGATTGACCCTGCTCTAGTAATAACCGGACATCAGATGCTTAACATCGTACTCTCCATATTATGAGGATTTTTTTAAGAATTGACTTAAAAATAGTCAAATATTGTCCCTGCTAGCCCTGGGTTTGCAGTACAAGCTGAATTCAGCCTTGTATTTTCAACATCTGATGTCAATGATTCTTTATTCTACCTCAGACAGTTAAGGTAAATGACAGTCTTCATCCTTCTAGTGCCTCACATTTTCTTCTGTCTGATTTTGGTTAGGACATGCTTGGGGATTTGTTTACCCCAGTGGAAACACCAGAAGCCCAGAACAGAGGCTTTCTCAAGGGGCTGTTTGGAGGAAGCGGGCAGACCTTTGACAGAGAAGAGCTGTGTAAGTGATTCTTACTGAAACTAATGGTCAGAAGACATAGAACAGCTAACCCTATACAAGGGCTCCCCATGTAATCTAGGAAAGAAGGAATGTTAAAAATGTTAAAGGTAACAGTATGAGGGAGGGCAGAGAATTTGTCCCAGGAGCTGCTATGAGGAGCAAGAGCTTGATCTTTGAGCCTTGTTTCTGTCTACTCAAAATGTTTCCTTACTCCCCAGTGAGAGCAAGTGAACAATAAAATAAGCCCCATTTCTGCCACTGCTGAAGTGGGCACTAGTATCAAACCTACCTGGATAGTTTGAGGCAATTTTTATGTACCACAGTACACCTCCAGATAACAGCAAGGGAGTGAGGAACTGGCAATGAACGTTCTAGTTATCAGTGGGGGAATGCGCTAACTCCCACCTAAGCATTCAGCCCCTCCCTGGCTCGGGTGGAATCGAGGGTATGAAAGGAGCTGCAGGAGGGGTAATTGGAGACTTGGCTCGTGCACGCCTCGCCCTTGATGAGAGAGGACAGAGACTGGGAGAACTGGATGAAAAAACAGCAGGCATGATGACTAGTGCAGAGGCGTTTTCCAAACATGCACATGAGGTATGGATCATACACGTACACAAATGGAGAGAGCTCACTCTAACCTGGGTTATCCAAAGTTAAGAAAGCTGAACCTCCTTCAGGAAAATTAACCCAATCACAGTTCCCCCAGGGATTGTCACCTTAATTTATACAGCACTCTCCCCAACACATTGGGGAAAAATGGTGTAGATCTTCATTATGTGACACTTCCTCTTCTTTCCTACATGCCTTGACAAGCTGCAAAATACCATTTTCATCTGCACCAATTAAAATGAATGGGGGCAGTTTCCCACCTCAGAGCTATTATTTCAGGCTCTCTGCAAAGTCAGGCAGCCATTTACTTTGGTTACACTTAACTCCACATTTCTTAGAGGTTAAGGTGGAAAGGGATGGCCAGAGCATCGAAACGGGGGTGGGCAATAATTTTTGGCCCGGGGCCACCCTTCGAAGGGGCGGGGCCTTAATGGGAAGGGGCGGGGCTACCCACCCCCAGACCATGATTGGTCTGAGGGTGGGGGGGAGCCCCTTTACCCCCCCCCTTCCCACTAGGCACTCATGCCCTGGAAGAGGCTTAGTACGCTCCCCCACCTCCAAGCCAATCAGGGGCTGGGGGCGTGGGAAGCCTTCTCCCACCCTGCAAGGAACATGTGACACTTTGAAGTGCTGCGGACTTCAAAAAGCTTCATGCAGCTCTCCCACTCCCAGGCCCTGATTGGCCTGGGGAGCACATGAAGCCTCCTCCGCTCTCTCCCCCGCCCTGTGAGTAGTGTGTGGCACTTCAAAGCCCCACAAAGCTTTTGACACTCTGCCCCCGCCCTGCGAGTATCGCAGGAGCAGAGCAGAGAAGGCTTCGGGTGCTCCCCTGCCCCCAGGCCTTAATTGGCCTGGGGGCAGGCGAGCAGCAGGGCCTCTGCAGGCCGGATCCACCTGCTTGGTGGGCCGCATTCGGCCCACGTAGGCCCTTTTGCCCACCCCTGTTCTAAGCTCACCAAAAGGCCATTACATCAAAGGCCATTACATTTCACCTGAGTATTCTTATATTAAGTTCAAAGACTTCAGTTGGACCAAAACATTTCAGTACTCAGGAAATGAACCTGCGGGTCATGAACAGACAGAGGAGAGCCAAGGTGTCACCAATGCCTGAAGCTTTCAGTGTTTTCTTCATAAACAAGTGTCTTTCAAAACTGCTGCCATCACCCCGTTTGTTCTCAGTGGGATGGAAACTACAAAGTGCCCTCAGTTAAGACCATTACCTTCATTCATTGACAACTCTCACCCTTCTTTGCAGGCAAAATAGGGGCCTCAACCCCTTGGGGCTAATAGGAGAGAAGGGCAATACTCACAAATTGCTAAAAAAAATGTACTTGCCTGTCGCTCCTTCCAGTGATGAGCAATAACAGGAGAAGGAGAAACAGTATAATCATGGGTGTCTTGTGGCTCAGACAAGGGAAGGCTCTGGCCATGCCCACCCTCAGAGTGCCTGTTATAGGTGTTCTGGCTGGGGGAGGAGAGAAGTGTTGCTTCCCACAGCGCCCACCCTCCTGGTGCTCCTGGCCAGGGAGGCTGGAACCACCTCCTCCCCTCCCCTAGTGCTACAGGAGCCATGCACCCCTTCCCTATCTGTGCTCCTGAGAGGCTGAGAGCCTCAACATGCTGCCCTGCTTCTCCACCCCTCTTGGTGCTCCTGGGAGGCTGGGGAGCATGTGGCACATTGCCCTGCTTCTCCAGGAGGCTGGGGAAGACTCAGTGTGCTGCCCTACTTACTTTCCTCCCCAGGGGGCAGGGTCTCTGCAGAGGATGGGGCTGTAGGTGGAGCTGGGGGGCCCTGCCACCCCCAAACTCAGCTGCACCAACCGCCCATTAGTATAATAAAACCTGCTTGTAGAAAAGGCTGAACTGAAACTAGGGTGTATCACACGTGTATATCTATATTCAGGGGAACAAACGGGGGGCTTTGGGAAACTGGAATGGGGGCATGATCTTAGTGTTTCCTCTAAAAACAACACTTTGCCAGAAGATGACATTGCAGTTTAACATGCTTAGTCCTAAATTTAGGGATCAACTAAAAAGATGAGTAAGTACATTAAGGAATAGTTAACTAGAATAATGATTCCAATTGTCTGCACAGCTGGATAACCACCCACCCCAGGGAGAATGTTTATTTGTATTTGGTTTATTTTAGTTTTTCTATTGGCTGTTAAAACATGAGGCTAAACTACTCAAGGAGATGCATAGAGGTACTGACAGATGGTATTTGAGAGGCACCTACCATACCCAGTGCCTCAGAGTCCTACTTTGCCTTATGCAGACACCAGTGTACTAAAGTAGGAATTCCATGAGGAGTGTCTCTTCCATGACCTAGGGGGAAATAATTAAGTGTTTCAACTCCACAAAGAATATTATGACAGAGGAAAAAAAGGGGCGGAAGAGAGTATTTCACAGAAGAAAAGGGCAGTGACATGTTTAGCAAAACACAACCTTCTACAGTTTGCTCCAAATTTTCTGCTTCAATATGAAGTCCATGACAATTAATGGAGCTACTTCATTTGTGGTACACCACCACCAGCTCACCACAGTTCTGCCACATTAATGTGGCATAACACGTTGCCATCAGCAAAACACATTTATGTATCTAATTTTCATTTTGCTTATTTTCCATCCCTGTAGTTGATGCTGAAATATAAGGACAAGAAATGGTACCAGTTTTAGACTGCTGCTTGACTTTCATGAGAACACTATTCAGGGAAGCGGAACTTATTCCCAGCACTGGCCAGAAGCAAAACTTTCTCCTAGGAAATGTTTTCTTGTTTGTTTGGATTCACCACAACCAGGGAGTCAAGGAGAAGTTTTACAACCCACAAGATGGAGCCTAGACTTGTATTGGTCTTTTAGTCAAAATACCTGGGCCATGGTGTAGTAAATCTTTTCTCAGAAGCAACTGAACAGTCATGTTGGCATGTAGCTTTTTTTCAGAAGCTCTAGGAATGAACCGTGGAGAGTGTGTCTGATTAAAAATATCTTGTACAAACTAGAATGTTAATGCACTTATTTAAAAAAAATTTTTTGCATGACTGACATCTTAAAACAAAAAGACAGCATGTTGTGACCGAAGAATAAGGGATTTATTTCTATGCTGAGCCAAATAAATAAATAAAAGCAAAGCAAAAACCTTTATTTTTTAAAAACTACACTATAAATAGTCAGTACATGTCAAGCATGGGGGCTGCTGATACTCAACAGAAAAATTAGATGAGTTGCATTTTCTTAGTTGCTGCTAGTTCTTTTTCTTAGCTTGAAATCAGTGCAATTTAATTCCTGTCCAAAGAATTAAACTAACATCCAAATGCTTTATTTAGAGTTTGTGAAGGAGCTAATTGGGGGATGTTACTCTTTACCATCCAAAGAGTGCAAGCAATGCCTTCCATAAATACTAATTTTCTGAAAGAAGTGTACAGAGTCTAGATACCTCTGAAGCATCCTGGGGAGCGGGAGGGGTGCTGTGACATGTCACCCCAGAAGTGTGTGACTCACTCTGATGCCTTGGCTTCTGCCCCCAATATTAGAAGCTGAAGAGAAGGTGAGTTATTAATTTCGGGTACGTCTAGACTACATGCCTCTGGCGACAGAGGCATATAGATTAGGCTACCTGGCATAGGACAATGAAGTGGCAATTTAAATAATTGCTGCTTCATTTACATTAAATGGCTGCCACACTGAGCTGATCAGCTGTTTGTTGGCTCAGCATGGTAGTCTGGATGCTCCACGGTCGACATCAAGGGCATTTTGTCGACCTCCCAAGTAAACCTCATCCCAAAGGCATGTAGTTTAGATGTACCCTTATTGAATTAAACTGAATAAAATAAAGGGAGCAGTGGATCAAGCAGCCAGATCCCCCCCAAACTCAGAGACTTCAGCAGCTTAAAGGAACAAGTTTCCTTTCACATTGCACTGAAGTGATGCTAAGTGCCCCAATTTGTAGCTTAAACCTGTTACCATTGTGATCTTCAGCCAGCCAACTTTAAAGCCCCCTGTATGTAATTTTAAATACACCAGACAAGACAGTGGAGAAACTAGTCTATCACCACTTGAAATCTCTGTAAAACATTTCCACAGCACTGAATGACTGGAGAATGCAGTAGCACATTGTCTACTTTGCACAAGTGTAAATACCTACAGAAGGTGCAAGGTACAGGGGAAGTAGGCTGTTTATATCAGGAAAGTTGCTGCCATGGAGCTTGCTGCTTTCCACCACGTGCTTTAATTTTCTTCATTTTGCAGATACTATCAGATCGTTTTCACAGCAGTGTACCATGATGTATTTGCGTGATCAGAATTACAGTTACCTTCTCCAGGTCAGTTCTATTCCTCTACATCAGCATAATTTCAAAGTAATCAACTTTCAGATGGAGTCTAAAATTAGCTTGGGAGCAAAGTGCCAAGTTCTGGTTTGCCGGTAACTATGCACAAGTACAAACTAAAGGAATGAGGGAGAGACCTGTTGCATCAGGTGAATTCATTTGGAAGGAAAATGGTCTGAGAAAGCAACTGCAGTTGGTGCCCTCCCAAATAGCTGTGGCTATCAATCAATCAGATTTGCTTTAACTTCATACATGTGTGTATCTTGACAGTGTAATACATATTCTTGACCACAAGCCACTGCTTTGGATTCTGCATTTCCACAGGAAGCAATCAATGCTAACTAACTCCTTTCTGATATTGTCTCTGATTTTAGTGGTAGGGTAGGTGCTCACTGGCAAAAACATCTAGGCTAGCCACCATTTTTTGCAGAAGAGGCTCTTCTGCAAAAATGGCTCATTAGGTATGCAAATGAGGCTCGGTGATAGTCCACGCTTAGCCTCATTTGCATATTTCTTGTGCAAGAAGCTGCAAGTGTAGACCTAGTCCTAGTGTATTGCTAATTCAGCTCTATTTTAGATATAGTTGTTGGACTCCAGACTCTGGCATCACAAGCTGTGAGAGTTAAGGTTAAACTGTTATGGCTCAGTATGAATTTTTTGCTATGTGTCATTTTAGCCTTGCCTACACCAAAATTTAAACAGCTTTGACAGTTATAGGCCTCTAATAGGGGCTAAGACAGCTCTGGTGTGAATCACCTGTTCACTCTCCATGTGCTCTGGCCTATAGTTAATCTAATAATCTAGGCAATATTAGCATTACTGACACCTTAAAGAGGATATGTTCCCTAACTTATCTGCAAGACTAGAGAAGAGATTTAAACTGTCACTAGGTACAGTCAGAACAAATAGGTAAAGATTCAAGCTGGAACTTATTCTACCAGGGCCCTGAGTTTATTCTGTAATTTCGCCCCCCCCCCCACCAATATTCCTGGTTCAAATGTAGAGCCACGTAAACCACCTCAACTGGCTTCAATGGAAGTTTCCATTGCAGTTCAACAATAGGCTGCAATATCTATAAATGCATCACAAGTGACAGTGTGGACAGACTCCTGGGATGCTTGGTATGTGCTTAGGATAGTGCTAGTTCTCTATTAAGAGTGTAGAAATTCTTGGCTTGCTTATTCCTCTTTTAGGCAGAAGTGTTGCTCTAGCATCATTTCAGCCTGTGCTCATCAATAAAATGGGAGCCTCCTTAGATAGTGTAGAGCTGCCCTCAGTGACCTCCAGCATTTAGCTCAGGATATTGATTTAACTTACACCACTTCAGTTACATGACTAACATAACTGAAGTCAATGTTGTTAGACCCACTTACCATTAGGACTCCAATGGGAAAGTGTCTTCCATCTACCTCCCCAAGAAGCATAAGGGAAGTTGACTATACAAAATTGAAAGGAGCGTGCTCTCCCATCCATTTAGTATGTCTTCACCAGACTGGCTAAATTGGCAGTGCTGCAATGGATGCAGTGAGTGTCAATCTACCAGCATTTGAAGACATACTCCGTCATGAAGCAGTTGCACAAGTCATCTTAATTATTCAGTAGCTACAGCCTGCAGAGAGAAATGTGCCTCCAGTAGGTCATTTAAATGACACTTGCTCCATCAGCAGTCTCTAACTTAAAGCTTGGCATTATCAGTAGGAAAGCCAGCCAATAGCTTTCAGCTTGCCTCTACTTCATAAAAGAAGAATTTAGATTCCCCAAACATCCAATTTGTAATATTTAAATCCATCTTTTACTCTAGAAAAACTCCCCATGAGGTCACAACTGTATCTTCCTTTCATCTATGACATATTGTACATCTTTCCAGAACGTTACAAATTCCTGTTTCTGTAATGTTCAGCTCTTGTGACTATAATTAACAATTTTCTTGTAGTCTGTAGAGATCTAAAAAATTGTATATGTTTGTAAATAGAATGTTCTATATATATATATATAAATATATATGTAATGTATATATTGTATAAGTTTGTTAGTGCACACTGTTAATGCTTTCTATTGAGATTTACCGTGAATATGGGAAAAACCTTCACCTTAAAATTTAATGAGGGAGGGGGAAGCCTCGCTTGTTAGTTTCTTGTGACATAAGGAGGAGTGTGAGATTTTTAAAAGGCCTTCCCTAAACATTTTTTGTTAATAACAAGAATAATAAAGGTACAGCCTTCAAGCTGACAAGCATAGCAACAATTTTGCTTGCTGAGAGGAAAATTAGGACACTAAGCTGTCTTAAGAAGAATGTTGAAGTCAAATGTGCTTTCACCTTATCAACCAAACCAGCACCAGCTCACAGAAAATACATAACTTTTGTTCCCTTTAACCTCCAAAACTTAGTTCAAAAGTTCAAACTCCAGCTAGGTTACATGAGATTTAAACTATGAAAGGCCATAGCTAGGGCCACTTTTGGTATAATGTTGCTCAGTGAAAATTTTTGTTAGTGTATTTTTTGAGAGTGAAAACTGTATTTTCTAACTTTGTCCCAATCAATCAGCTATACAAAATCCTCTCTCTCTCACTCTCTCTCTCTCTCTCTCACAAACACACACACACACACACAGAGCGTCTAGGGTGTAATATGCAGATGAAATATTAGATTCATTATGTGGCTTCTCAGACAAGTCCTTACTAGTAAGAACTATTTTAGAAGCAGCCAACACCTAGACCACTTTAAATTTCAATCTTGAATTATAATTTTAAATAAATCTAATGAAATTCTGTTCCAATACCAAGATTTGTTTTCTGTAATCACACAAGATTTTTCTAAATCCTCTTTAACATTCCTATTACCAGGGCTTGACAAACCACAGTGAAATCTACTTGCTAGCCCCGCACTGCACATGCGCGCACTGCTGGTGAACGGGGCGACCGGCTAAAATCCACTCGCCCAGGGCGAGTAGATACACTGATTTGTCGAGCCCTGCCTATTACCAAACTATTTATGAGTAGAAACTGTCCAAATTAAACATTTTCTCTCATTAGAATAGTTTTTGAATAAATATTTAAACAAACATATTAGACACCGTATGATGTTATCACAAAAATTTTCTGTACAACTTCTTACATATTCCTTTTTCAGAGATCATCTCACACTCTTCCTTGTGTGTGTTGCATACTGACAAAATAAATTCTGTATCTATCCAACATGAAAAACCATCACAGCTAATGGGAAAGCTGTATTTAATCTCAGGATTATTCTATTTATAAGTTATGTTTTATAATTATCACAGGCAAATTGCCAGACTGCATCTAGTTGCACCCTGGGTATCCCACAACACTTTTCATGACCTAAAAATGAATGCAAACACAGTATATTTTAGTCTGGATTAATTTTGGCTTGGTAAGGTCTCAGTAAGAACACACTCTCTCATGAATGAGTTACATGTTTCCATTTGTAGACAACACTTCAACTAGGTGCAAGTCATGTACAAGTTTCCATTTGTGTGTTTTCTGTTATGTGACTGACTAAAATCAAAATGTTGTACTTTTTTAACTAGTGTCCAATATTCTGGTTCTGTCAAGAAATGGACAAATTATGTGGTTTTTATTAATGACTCACCATGTGTATTTCAAAATGAAGATTAAATCCAGGAGTGAACCATGTGTTCCTTCTGCTCCATTAACCATTTACTGATAGATATCCTAAAATTGGCATCACAAAGGTAAATTAAGGCACCTTTGATTGAAACTGTTCTGAGTTTCCGGTGAAAGAACTGATGGAAAGAAAATAAAGAAAAGAACTCACATTCTGTGTAACTCCCTTTTTTCAGACGCTAGTGTCACGGGTATGTAGTTAAGTAAAGGGTTGATAAATGCATATTCCATGTGGCTAAACATCCCTTTTATAGTCAGTATTTCTACACACAGCTTTTTTCAATTTACAACTTCCATACAAAGTCAGGCTCCATTATTGTCACATTCCTAGTCTCTTGGGCTGTTATTTCTACATTTTCATTTTGTCTAAGACTACCACAACATGCTAACAAAGCAGGGAGGCATAGGGGGAGCTTATGTCTATTTAGCTATTGTAGTTAT